AGCCTTGGAGACCCTGTGGGGTAGTTCCTCTTTGTCCTCTAGGGGCGCTGTGGGTCGGAATCGACTCACCAGCACCCAACCACAACAAACTTGACTTTAAAGGGAAGGGAGACTCCAAACAAACAACAAAGGCACAATCAAGGTGGTTGCAGGCAGGGTTACAGGCAGACCTCGTTTTACTGCACTTTGCCTGATTGTGCTTCACAGGTGGTTGTGTTTTTTACAGATTGAAGGTGTGCGGCTGCCCTGCATGAAGCAGGTCTGTCTGCACCGTTTTTGCAGCAGCTGTGCTCACTTCCTGTCTCTGTGTCATTACTTTGGTCATTCTCAAAATATTTCATTCTTTTTCATCATGCTGTTGCACCTGTCATAGACTACTGTGAAAACATACCTTCTGTATGCAGCAGGAAACTGAAGAAATACATGCAACTCGCTTTATTGCAGAGGCATGAAATCAAACTCACAGCATCGCCAAGGTCTGCCTGTACTCCCACACCTCTCTCCTCGGTGCTCCTTGGAGGAGCTCATCAGGAGAAGCCCAGTCTATTAAACAGTGTATGCTGGTATTCTTCGTTGACCTTAATGACATGGACAGAGTAAAGCTTTCAGAACCTCCATTTGCTGATGAGGCTTGACTCAAAATGGGAAAAAAGCAGCAGGAAACATCCATCAAGAATCAGAACATGGCATATACAAAGTATGAATTTAGGAAAATTGGAAGTTGTAAAAAATGGAACGGAACACATAAAGATCGATATCCTAGGCTTTAGTGCATTGAATGGATTGGTATTAGACATTTTGAATAGGAAATCATAATACGTATTATGTCGGAAATGACAAATTGAAGAGAAATGGTGTCACATTTATCACCAAAAAGAACATTTCAGTGCACACCCATGCTCATTGCAGCACTATATACGATAGCAAAAAGATGGAAACAACCTACATCCCCATCAGTAGAAGAATGGATAGCCAAACTATGGTACATGCACACAATGGAATACTATGCAACACTAAAGAATAATGTAGAATCTGCGCAACACTGCATAAGATGGATGAACTTGGAGGACATTATGCTGAGTGAAATAAGTCAGTCACAGAAGGATAAATATAGTATTAGTTCATTATTGTGAAAAGTCAAAGAAAAGTTTGTATATGAAGGAAACTTACTTTGTTGGTTACTGGGGTGAGGGGGGCGGGTAGGGGAGGGAACACCACAAAAATAAAATTAAATTAATCGATAAAATAAAAAGGACCATTTCAAGATCTGTCCTGAAGTACAACACTGTCAGTGATGGGGCAACATCCCTACGCCTACAAGGAAGACCAGCTAATACTACTGTTATTCAAATTTATGCACCAACCACTAATACCAAAGATAAAGAAACTGAAGATTTTTACCAATTTCTGCAGTCTGAAATTGATCAAACATGCAACCAAGATGCATTGATAATTACTGGTGATTGGGATGCAAAAGTTAAAAATAAGAGGAATTGGACTTGGGAAATATGACCTTGGTGATAGAAATGACACTGGAGATCGCGTAATAGAATTTTGCAAGACCGACGACTTACTCGTTCCAAATACCTGCTTTCAACAACACTGATGGCAACTGTACACATGGACCTCACTGGATGGGATACAGAGGAATCAAATTGACTACATCTGTGGAGAGATACGGTGGAGAAGCTCGATATCATCCCTCAGAACAAGACCAGGGGCCAGCTGTGGGACAATTAATTTCTCATATGCAAGTTCAAATTGAAGCTGAAGAAAATTGAAACAAGTCCACAAGAGGCAAAGCGTGACCTAGATTATATCCCACCTGGATTTAGAGACCATCCGAAGAATAGCTTTGATGTGTTGAACACTGACTAAAGACCAGATGAGTTGTGAGAGGATATCATGCATGAAGAAAGCAAAAAGTCATTTAAAAAAAACAAAGAAAAGATCAAAATGGATGTCAGAAGAGACTCTGGAACTTGCTCTCGAACATAGAATAGGTAAAGCAAATGGAGGAGTTAATGAAATAAAAGAGCTGAACAGAAGATTTCAAAGGACGGTTTGAGAAGACAAAGTATTACATTACAATGAAACGTGCAAAGACTTGGAGTTAGAAAACCAAAAAGAAAGGACATGCTTGGCATTTCTCAGCAGAAAGAACTGAAGAAAAAAATTGAAGCTTCAAGTTGCAATATTGAGGGATTCTGTGGGCAAAATATTAAACAATGCAGGAAGAATCAAAAGAAGATGGAAGGAATACACAGAGTCCTGTACCAAAAAGAATTGGTCAACGTTCAGCCATTTCATGAGGTAGCATATGATCAAGAACGATGGTATTGAAGAAAGAACTTGAAGCTACACTGAAGGAATTAGCAGCAAACAGGGCTCCAGGAATTGACAGAATACCAGTCAAGATGTTTCAGCAAAGGGTTAGGGTTAGGGTTAGAATCCAGTGCTGGAAATTCTCACTCATCTGTGCCAAGAAACTTGGAAATTGGCTACCTGGCCAACCAACTGGAAGAGATCCATATTTATACCCATTCCAAAGAAGTGAGTGATCCAACAGAATGTGGAAATTACTGAACAGTGTCATTAATATCACACGTAAGTAAAATTTTGCTGAAGATAATTCAAAAAATAGTTGCGGCAATAGATCAACAAGAAGCATCAAGAAATTCAAGCTGGATTCAGAAGAGGATGTAGAACCAGAGATATCATTGCTGATGTCAGATGGATCTTGGCTGAAAGCAGAAAGTACCTGAAAGATGTTTACCTGTGTTTTATTGACCACGTAGCATTCGATTATGTGGATCATAACAAAGTATGGGCAACACTGAGAAAAATGGGAATTCCAGGACACTTACTTGTGCTCGTGAGGAACCTGTACATAGATCAAGAACAAAGGGAACAGAACAAAGAGATACTATGTGGTTTAAAACCAAGAAAGCTGTGAGTCAGGGTGGTATTCTCTCACCATACTTACTCAATCTGTGTGCTGAGCAAATAAGCTGAGAAGCTTTACTATATGAAGAGGAACACAGTATCAGGATTAGAGGAAGACTCGTTAACAACCTGCGATACGCAGATGACACAACCTTGCTTGCTGAAAGTGAGGATGACTTGAAACACTTACTGATGAAGAGCCAAGGCTTAACTTCAGTATGGGTTGCATCTCAACATACAGAAAACAGAAGTTCTCACAACTATACCTGTGAGCAACGTGACAATCAACAGAGAAAAGATTGAAGTGGTTACAGGTTTAATTTTACTTGGATCCACAGTCAACACTCTTGGAAGCAGCAGTCAGGAAATCAAACGACGTACTGCATTGAGCAGATCTGCTGCAAAAGACCTCTTCAGTGTTAAAGAGTAAAGATGTCACTTTGAGAACTAAGGTGGGCCTGAGCCAAGCCATGGTATTTTCAGTCACCTCATGTACCTGGGAAAGCTGGACAGTGACTAAGCAAGGAATGGTGTTGGTGAAGAATGTTGAATATACCATGACCTGCAGAAGAATGAACAGATCTGTCTTGGCAGAAGGACACCCAGAATGCTCCTTAGACGCTCATACAGCAAGACTTTGTCTCACATACTTTGGTCATGCTATCAGGATGGAGCAATGTCTGGAGAAGGACATCATACCTGGAAAAGTAGAGAGTCAGCAAAAAACAAGGAAGACCCTCAATGAGACGGACTGACACAGTGCTTACCAATACGGGCTCGAGCGTGGCAATGACCGTGAGGTGGTGCTTTGTTCTGCGGGGCGTGGGGTCACTACGAGTCAGAGCCAGCGTGACGGCATCCAGCAACGGTGAAAGTGCAGTCCGAAAGTTGTAATGTACTTAACAATACCAAGTACGCGTGTTATTTCAGTACACACAGTGGTCTAGTCTTACCAGTAAAGCTTATTACCAGCCCCCCAAAAAGAGAACTAGCCCCAGACCCCAGCTAGATAGAAAATGAAAGAAATCTACCAGAAGTGCATTATTTTCAATTTCCTGCCAATGCGGTAGGTAGAAGGTGCTAGAATCTCGCAAGGATAGAGCAGAGTCTAAGTTTCTCTATATGTTGGCTTGGGTTTCTCACGGTTACCAGGGTCACCAAGAGTTGGATGGGGAGGCAAGAAAGTATTTTTTCCCTAAAGTTGCCAAAAACAACAGTGACCAGTTTGATCAGAAATTTCCAGCCAGTCAAAAGCAAGGTCTCATTCCATCGGAGCAGGCTGGTGCGACCCCAGGAGGCTGTCGCCCACGTCCAGCAGATGCTCCTGTTTTCATTACATGCACGCAGCAGCTCGGTGACCGTGTCCCTTTCTGGGAGAGGAAGGCAGACAGGCTAGGCTCTTCTGGTTGACTGAGTGTAGATCCTTCAGGTCCCGACACTGAGAAGGCGTCTGAGTGGAGAATGGCAGGCAGCCGTCAGCGAGGAAACCAAAGCTTCCTGTGGCAAACACCACTTCTCCCACCTCCCCCAGGGGGGAGGGGGTTTTTGGGGGTGTGGTGCCTGCAGCTGTCTACGCTCTAAGCCATGACCGGGCACAGCTGGGAAGGAGGCCCTGGGTCCTGAGGACAGAGGACCGCAGGGGTCAGATGCAGTGGAAACTAGTTGTTACATCTGCCTGCAAGGTGGGGAAGACCTGGGTTCGATTCCCAGCTGGTGTACCCCATGTGCCGCCCCCACCCGTCTCAGTGGAGGTTTGCGTGTGGCTGTGACGCTGAAGAAGATGCAGAATTTCCAGAGGAAGAGAGTAGAAAGAAAGGCCTGGTGATCTGCCTCCAAAGTCAGCCAGTAAGAACCATGGATCCCAAATGTCCGATCCCACCCGGTCACGTGTGACGCGGACCAGGCAGCATTTCCTTCCTTTGCACATGGGGACTTGCTCTGAGCCAGGGCTGACTCAGTGGCCTCCAACCACAACAGCTACAACCTCTGTCTACCCCAAGACCCACCTAGCCCTTGGACACAGTCCCGCCCCTCTCCTCAAAGCCCTGGTGCTCCCTGATCTCACCGGGAGCAGGCACCCCATAGCCACTTAGGAAAGAGCCCTAGGGCAGCCACACCTCCAGGCAGCCGTGTGTCGGGCAGCCTGGCCTGTGACCGTCTGGGGATCCTCACTGGTGTGTCTGGTCAGCCAGGCGCCTGGGACGGAACGTGCTCTGTCATCTCTCAGTGTGCCCTTGCCCTTTCAGGAACGTGTCCACCTGCGAGGTGTCCTCCTCTCAGGCCGTCAGCTCCCCGCAGCGGTCCAAGCGCGTCAAGGAGAACACGCCCCCGCGTTGCGCCATGGTACACAGCAGCCCGGCCTGCAGCGCCTCCGTCACCTGTGGGTGGGGCGACGGTGCGTCCAGTAGCACCCGGGAGTGGCAGCGGCAGACGATTGTCATCCCCGACACTCCCAGCCCCACGGTCAGCGTCATCACCATCAGCAGTGACACAGACGAGGAGGAGGAGCAGAAGCACGCCCCCACCAGGTGAGACCGCGCTGCGCTCCCCGTGGGGGGCGGGCACCGGCAGGAGCGTGGCTGGGCAGCAGAAGCTTCTCCCCTAGCTGTCCAGGCTCTGGGCCGTTCTCCATCATCAGTCGTGGTGACCCACCTTCCCGAGCCTAACTCTGGTTCTGCCATGTCCTAGAATCCTGAATTCCTTCAGGGGAATGTCAAACAGGGATTCCCATAGTTGTTCAACGCTGGTCACGTAGCTTTTAAAGCAGCAGGAGGACTCTGGAGATGGGGTTTGAGACCTTGACAGTTAAGCAACAAGGACAGTGTCTCAGCCCCTGTAAGCTTACAGCTCTATAGCTTGCAGCGCTCTGCCCGACGCTGTTAACTTTGTGCCCCCTCAGAATGTGAAGGTGTGGTCCCTGTATCTGATTAACCCGGCCGCCCAGACTGCAAATTGGCTCTTCACCGAGAGAGCACCCCAAAGCCATCATCATTCATTTTACTCCTCCGTGCACCTGGGGAAGGGGCAGGAGTACAGACTCTATTTGCACGATGAGGCAATGGAGCCCCACCTCTCGCATGGCAGCCAGACTGCAGCAAAATGCAGATTCCTGCAGCACAGCTTCAGGCATCCAGACAGATGGGCCCTGGGCCCTGTCCCCAGGACAGTTGGCCCCCCGGCCTTCCATGCCCCACACATCACAGCATCTGTAGATACTGAGCTCTCGTGACCCCAGCGTGCCTGCCCCTGTGCAGAGGAGCTGAGCCCCGGGAGGAGAGGGGAGGCAGGCACTCCGAGCCCAGCGTTGTTTGCACACACACCCATGACTGTGTATGTGCACTTACCGTCTGCAGTACCACCCTCATTACTGATGCATTGATGCCACTGTTTAGTGAGCCCGGATCCGTTGTCAGCAGTCCCGCCCCACCCTTGAAATCATATGGAATACGCAGATGGACAGCTGAGACCGTTCCTGGGGTGGCCATTCCTGCAGGGCTCCTCTCTCACCTTTACCCTGCAGTGGGGGGCACAGGGGACCGCTCAAGGCCGGGGCACAGCCCATTTCCCATAACCCTTTGCCACAACTGGAAAATGACAGAAATCATTTAAAAACCCTACTAACAACTGGGTTGGAATGTTGTTTGTGAAGGATGATATTTGAGCAGATGTAGATGCTTGACCTCTGAGAGTCGGAAGAGTTGGGTGTGT